GGCACAGCCCAGACAAAGTCATCCTGCACTATGCGCAGTGCTTCATCTGCAATCCTCGATCTTTCTTAGCCGCTATAACACAACATGATACAACAATTGAGCCCGATCGACACCCAAACCCATCCGAAATTGCACAGACTGCACCGCACCGGCCTCCCTAAACCCTCAGAGCCCCAATCCGGATTGCACCGTCTCTCAGGAGCCTCAGCCGACAGAGGAGATCAGCTCGGATCCCAGCTTCAAGAGCCAAAGACAAAGACCACGCGATCCCGTGTGACATAAAACCGTCTGCCCACTTGGGCTATCGAAAAGGAGCTTACATGACATGGCAGACGGAGCACCGAAGTCCGCATACGTACAGGAGAATCATGCCGCAAGCACAGGCAGCCCGAAAAATTTCGCATCTCGAGGCGAGGCGGAGTCAGAACCGGAGTTGCCGGCCCAGCAGGCTCGGGCACTGTAAAATTCCATCAGCACCCTTCGCTTTGGAATGGCTGTCTAGGCTTGGCCCGAGGTGGACTCCAAGGACGCAAACCGCCGCAGTTTGTCCCCCCCCCCCCCCCGCTGTGCGTATTCTGTGCTTCATCTCCGGATCCCTCTTTAGTCTGTGGGCCAGGATGAAGTGATCGAGTGCGTGCTCGAACCGTCCGTCGCTTAGCGGGTCTTGCAACGTGCAACGTGCAATGTGTTCGTCTGCACACGTACTAAGATACTACTTACTATATACTTGTATCAGGATGGAAAGAGATGCTCCTCATGTCGTGCCCTGAGCGTGCCTTTCTTATGGATGCTTCACTTCGGCTGCTTCGTGGGATCGCTGACTCGTGGTTGTGGCAGTTCTTGGGCTTTTGTACTCCCTGGTCGTACTGCTCCAGAACTGGACATCCAATCGTGAAATTCCATTTCCGCAGTAAGGCTTCCATCGTGGATTTGCGCAGCAAGTCTTTCGCGAGGAGGTCGCACGAGTCAAGCTTCTTTTGTCAGCCTACCTCGGGTCGCTTCTGAACAGCCTTTCGTTACCTGAGCCTATGCTGAACATGCAGCTCCCCAAGGTTTGTGCTGTGAATGTGGGGCGGTGCGTCAGCCTTCTCACTGAGACACTGCTAATAATATGTTGACATTGGTTGTCCTTCACCAGTTTTTCGGCTCAAGCACGGGCGCTTTTAATATCGCTTTTGGTGTCTACTTCGAGCAATGTTTGCTCGAGAATGGTTGATGTGCTACTTCGTGGGCATGGTGACTTCCTACGATGTCACCTATTTCCCAACAGATCCTTATCCAGGTCAAGCCTGGCACAACGTAGGCTTGACACCGGACGGCACCAAAGTTGTTGCAATGGTAGGCAATGCCAGAATCTACGTCAGCTCTGACAGTGGAAGTACTTGGTCGATGGATACAAGTGTGGGGATCCAGTTCTGGAACGGTGTGGCCATGTCAGCAGATGGAACCAGGATGGCTGCAATCTCCTTCGACAGGGGCGTTTATCTCAGCACCGACGGCGGTGCCACCTGGGCTGCGGACACTCGTGTGACAACATCCGATCCATTCCTCGCTAATTGGAACGGCGTGGGCATGTCATCGGATGGCCTCACGATCGCTGTGGCTGGCTACTTCAGTGGCATTTGGATCAGCATAGACGGTGGTGCCAATTGGGCGGAGGACTCAAGTGCAGGCTCACAAGACTGGCAAGCCTTGGCCATGTCAGCAGATGGCACCATGATGGTGGCAGCGGTCCATGACGGTAACATCTGGAGAAGCACTGACACTGGTTCTACCTGGGTGGAGGAGAGCGGGGGACGAGTCTGGGGGGGGGGGGGGGGGGGAGGTTCAAGTACCACGGAAAGCGCATGTATCCCAGCACAGAAACCTGGTACACGCAGACTTACCTTTGAAGGTGCAGAAACATCACATCCAACACGGGGGCGGGGGGATCGCAGACAACGGCTCGTGTTTTGACAAAGCCGGCGTGATCTCTCTCCCATCATTCGCCCACCTGTGTCTTTAGGGCTTGCTGTAGGTGACTGTTTCAGGGTGTCAGGATTTCGGAGAAACCATTCAGAAATCAAGGAAGCCCTGGGAGTCCTGTAAAGTTCAAACATTGAAATCCACGTGGTACAGAAACCGTAAAGGATCCCTGGAGAGAGAGCGAGAGCGAGAGCGAGCGAGAGAGACAAAAAAAGAGAACAGAGCGGGCCCCAGCTTAGGAAGACTTTGCTTAGCCAACCCCCAGAGAATCCCCGCTTATCCCGGCTTAAGATAGCCCCGAAAGTCTGCGGCTGTGTTGAGGACACAAGTGTGGGGTCCAGCACACCATGGAAAAACTTGGCCATGTCAGCAGATGGCACCAAGATGGCTGCAGTGGCCGAGAATGATTATCTCTACATCAGCTCGGATAGTGGTGCCACTTGGAACCAGGACACGAGTGTGGGATCCACGCAATTCTGGCGATTCGTGTCCATGTCAACGGACGGCGCCACGATGGCTGCCACCTCAACAAAACTATGGTTCTCCAAGGACGGTGGCAGTACCTGGGTAGAGCATCCTAACACGGGAACCCATGGTGCGTGGAGAGAGGTGGCCGTGGCATCGGATGGTTCCTACTGCTATGCCGTGAATAACCCAGGCGGACTTGTTCGCATTTCACTGACCGCAGGAGCGGTTAATACGACCAGCACGACCAGCTCCTTGACCATGACATCAACCTCACAGACGGGCACCTAGACAACAAATTATGCAAGATTGAAAGATCGCTTGAGCTGAGTTGTCGTCTTTTTCTTTTTGTGTCAGTTAACGTTTATCGCTCTGATTAGTAACCCCTCTGTTGGCTTGTTTCGGTAATGTCGGACTGAATTCGCGAGGTCGTCAAGGTCCGAGTGCCTTTTTTTCCTTCTGGACGAACGCGGGTCGAAGGTGTATGTTAGTTGTTTGTCCTTTAGTGTGTGTGTGTGTGCGTAGTTTTTTGGCAGGTGAACAGATAAGGGGCCTTGTGGAAGAAATGTACGTTCTAATCGTGGGACACATGTGTGTGTGTATATATATATAGGTATATGGTATACGGTAAACGTATGTATTGGTCGTGTCGTGTTTTGTTGTGGGTGTTTTGGGGAAGGGCAGTGTGGCAGACAGAACACCCCTTTTTCTTTTGGAGCAGATTCTACCAACAAACCGCGCAAAGAAAAACAAAGAAAAGCACAACACCCGGAGCACAGGGACAGAATTATGCGCACCCTTTGGCAGCTCAATTTCTCGTGCGGCGGGGGGGGGGGGG